TTAAAAATAAATCCATAAAATTAGCAAAAAAACGATTAATGACGCATTCACATAAAAACTAACGGAACGTGCCATTCATAAAATGTCATCTTCACTCCTTTTTAATTTCCTGCAATAAGGCTTTGGCACTACCACTGAAACCAACAACACCCTCTACTTGTTTAAATACAAAAGTGTTCTCTGGTTCATGTTTCTTAGCTGACTACTCCCAAACATTTCTACTACTACTTTGTTATGAAGATCTACTGACAATAATTTACATCCCCAGATGAAATAAAGAGTTGGTAAAAAGCCCCTAAATTAGAGGGACACACAGTCAAACGTGAACTAGCAAAAATTCACCTGAAATCTACCTGACTTGACTTTTTAACTTAAATGCTAATTCATTCAGTTAATAAACACACAGTGAGAAGCAAATACAGGCAGAGAATGTAGTCTGCAAAATTCTTAGCAAAACACGTCTTTCTAACAGTAATTATTGTATGCCTTCTCTGTGTCAGGAGTTAGGCGATCAGCAGTGAACAAAAATGTCTCTGGGCCTCATGAGTTCATATTCTAGCGAGGACGGACAATCAAGTAAAGAAAAAAATCACAAATTTCAGATGGTGCCATGAGCTATGAAGAAAAATTAGTGATGTGATGGAGAATAAACAGGACACCTAGGAACTTATTCAATGCTAACAAATTTACTTAAAAAAAAATACATTAAGCTCAAGCTTTATGGAGGAACTAGGCAAGGCATATGAGTGGCAGGAATAAGAACACAGGCCAAAGAGAAGGGTGAAAATGTGAGGGGGAGAAAGGAAAAGAAAGGCACAGGAGCTGAAAGAAACAGATGTGTAAGGAACAATGGCCTATTGTGTCTATTACAGGGAGGCATGTGTTTTGTTTTGTCTGATTCGTGGGCTCAATATATTAGGTCAAGCCATATTAGAAACCACCTATCCTATCACACTCCTATTATACACAAATAGTATCTTAAAACCAAAATTAACGAGGAAAATAAAACTGCTTTTCTTATGACGGCGAAGGGCAGGGAAAAAGTATTTGTGAATCAATGTAGCTCTTCCCACAGGATGAAATCACAGAATTTTCTGTTGAGACATTGCTCCAGCTTCAGAGTAAGAGATCCACGAAGAGCAGTTTTTTCTAAAGAACTACCGTCTAAGTACAAGCTTATATGCTCTTTAACTCAGCTGTACTACATCTAGGCTAAACATGAGCACTGAAAAGTCATTTTTCAGCAAACCAGAGGGAAAAGGACAAAAACCCTTCAGGTTTAAGGCAGCCAAACACAGAGAAGCCCTCACAAAGGGAGCTGTCCATTCACCTTGGATTCCCTTCAGTCTCTTGTCAAGCCAGAGTCTGAAATTACCAATACGTAGCTGAAAGCCCACGTCTTCTACAAAACCTCCCATCTACTTCTGGCGGGCTGCCACTGTGAGTGTCCACCTCCATCCTGAAGAACCAGGCAGCAAGCAGCCAAGGAGGTTTGAAGGGTCTCACAACATCACTGCCGACGGGAAAAGGAACCAATTTGCTCACTACAGAGTGTGCCCATCTCCACTGTCTTCAAGACTCTCAGACTAAAGGCTCCCCGAGTATCCCTTCTGTGCTTCCTTGCTCTTATGCCCTTTCTCTAAGTCCACTACTAAAGGGACGACACCCTCCGAATCTGAACTCAGCTTCTCCCACAAAATTAAAACTCCCTACTCAGCTTCATTCTCAAACAACTCAATCATGTAAGTAGAAAAGTGACCAAAATCATGATCGCTGTTCTCATTGGTCTTCTGCCATCCCCCATGATCAGTTTCTAGTCCTTCCTTTCATGTAAACAAGGTGTTTTATGTCCAAGTTCCCATCAGCGGATCACCCCTTAACCCCATTCTAACCTTAGAGTCTTCTTTGTAAGAAACGGAATGAGGCAAAGTTAACCAGTTGGAGAGAAAGATGAAGAAAATAGCATTTACTGAGTTCCTAGTATGAACTTGGCACTGTTCTAGCCTAGGAGGTGGGAATTTCTATCTCTATTTTATAAATGGGGAACAAAGTTGAATGTTTCTTCAATACATCCATTCCTCTCTGGTCTAACAGAGCAGACTTTCACCATTTCAAATCCACAGCACCACTGGCCTCCTCAACTCCTGACCTGTTCTGTATAAAACACTGCCAGAACAATCATACCAAAATTCCATTTCTATCACACCAATTCCCGGTTGAGGGAAGTGAAATGCCTTCTGCTTCTCTATTTGCCCACAGACTGGCCCAGAATTCAGTAATTATTTGTTGCTTAAAATCATCCCATGATTCCCCACCAGCTTAGAGCTAATGAGCCCAAGAAGCAGAAAGTAAGAGGTGTTTAGGGCAGCTGTGTTGAATCCGCACCACGCATGTGAAAAAGCCAAAAGCAACTCAGGAGCCGTTAAGATAAAGTGGAATTTCTCTAAGACATTTCACAATTCTGACTCCACCCAAACCCGCCTTCTTCACCGAGCGGGGCTACTGGATTTAGAATGCCTGGGTTCTAACCCCCACTCCTCCATGGCTAGCTTCTTAACCTCTCCATGCTTCAATCTCCTGCTCTACAAGAGTTCAACTGGGCTGGGCCTCTGTTCCAGTTTTCCCACGCTCCCTGACTATCCAAGTCCAGGTCATTCTCCAAAGGTCGGATAAAGGCCCATTTTCCTTGCAAACTCTCACTGGATGACCTCAGCCCATCACCACACTGACTGGGTTCATAACAGCTCTACAACAGGAGGAGCCTGAAGCGCTCATTTCAAGTCTTATCGGTAATCATGTATCATTGCGTCTCACCAAATTATTTCCCCTGTGTACACCCTTCCCCCACCAATGTCCCACTCACAAATGACAGCCATGCCACTCACTCCCTCAGGTGATCCTCAGTGACACAATATTAATATCAACAATTATTATGACCACATTTGCTGCCTCCGTAAGGGCCAGGCACTGCGCTCAGTTTCCTGTGTATTTTACTATCCTTCAATCTTCCTAATTCTTTTAGTTGATCTTTTTAACCCCATTTCACAGTGGCAGAAGAGAGCCACCCAAAGCCACAAAGCTAGTGGGGATGGGGACCAGGGTGAAGAGCCAGAGGGATGACGTCAAACTGAGCGGTCTGCCTCCCACTGGTGTACCTACTGCCATCGTGTTGCTTAGTACTTAGTGTGGTCATTTAAGAGCCACATGTTAAATCTCTCCAAAAACTGTATTTCTTGGCTCGCTTACAGAATAACCCATTCTTTTTTTTTTTTTAAAGATTTTATTTATTTGACAGACAGAGATCACAAGTTGGCAGAGAGGCAGGCAGAGACAGAGGAGGAAGCAGGCTCCCCGCTGAGCAGAGAGCCCAATGCGGGGCTCCATCCCAGGACCCTGAGATCATGACCTGAGCTGAAGGCAGAGGCTTTAACCCACTGAGCCACCCAGGCGCCCCCAGAATAATCCATTCTTTTTTTTTTTTTTTTTTTAAGATTTTATTTTATTTATTTGGCAGAGAGAGATCACAAGTAGGCAGAGAGGCAGGCAGAGAGAGAGGAGGAAGCAGGCTCTCCGCGGAGCAGAGAGCCCGATGCGGGGCTCGATCCCAGGACCCTGGGATCATGACCTGAGCCAAAGGCAGAGGCTTTAACCCACTGAGCCACCCAGGCGCCCCAGAATAACCCATTCTTAATAAGTGATTCATACCCAAGTCTTTACTTAAACAAACTTGTAATCCTAACAACTCCGTGAGATAATGATTGCTGTTGTCGATCTACAAATGAGGAAACAGAGGGACGGAGGGGCTCAACAACTTGCCCCCAATCACACAGCTGGTTAAGTGAACTCAAGGGTGAAGCGACAGCTGTCATCAAGTACGTACTCCTCTTACTAACTCCTTCTCGACAATTTTTATTAAGCACAAGCAAACCCAGAAAGGGTCTGCGGATACGGCAGTGACTACACCAGAACTCATCTCTGCTCTCACCGCGCTTACCATCTTCGTTCTTTTCCAACACCGTCCTTCAATGGACACAATCCTAAATCCCCTTAAATACTCTAGTTTTCCATTAAAAAAAAACATCAAATCTGGTTAAGAATTGGTATCAAAAAGCATGGGACTCGAAAACAGAAAACCTGAGTTACACTTCCAACTTTGCCATTTCTGAGCAACTTTGTCACTTCTTGGACCCTGGACAAATCCGTTCACGGACTCTCGATTTCACGACCTGTATGAGATAAATGTACTGAGTTGCACACCTACCACAGTGTCTGGCACTTAGTACACGCTCCATAAGCGAACTCCCATCTTTTCCCTCCCCTCCATCTAGTGACTTCATAATCCGCGTCGTCACTGAGCACGTGTGAAAAGGCTCCGCGGAGTTACACCCGGGACCAAAAAGTGTCCAGTCCCTTACTTCCCAAGGCAATTCTCCCTCCAGATCACTAGGTCTCCAATTTCAGGCCGCAGACTACTCAGCTGCCAATAAACCGGGTTACGACTCCGGTATGACAGCGACGCTCGTTAGGGCCTGGCAGTGTCTATAAAACGCTCCCCATGACCTTCTTTAGAAGGCCCTTGTTTCAGCTGGCGAGCACTGTGACCCCTGACCGGGCTCCACGCCCCGTGCTGGAAATGTGGCACCGGGGAGGAGAACGTCCAGCCTCTGGCACGAGGTTGCGCCCTGCAGACCGCTTTCGCCTCGAGGAGCTCTGCACCTCTCCGGCCACCTGCCAGCCCGAATGCCCCCCACCCCTCGCCCCCGGAGCTGCGACTCCTCCCCTCCCGCCTCCCGCGGGGGCCCAGGCTCCTCCGGCCGCGTCCCTCCGCTGCCCGAGTGGCCTCCCGCCCGGCTCGGTCAGCTCGCCCCGGCCCGAGGGGTTGGATCAGACCGGTCGGCCTGACCTCCCCCGGAGCTTCCCTTCCGCCGGCCTGGTCAGCGGGGCCTGAAGCCGGCCGCTCGGCTCCCGGCGGAGCCTGCCAGGGACGAGACGCCCCTTACCTATCTTCACCACCGCGTCCGCCATGCACCGGTCCCACTTCCTGCCGAGCTCTGAATCCGACATGTTCCCCACCCGCAGCTCCCGCTTTCCTTAAGGTCGGACCCCGCGCTCCAACTGCAGGCAAGTCTCGCGAGAGCCGGCCGCGGGTCCCAGGCCCGGACGGCCGGCGCCGGCCTGACAGATATCGCGAGATGATCTGAATGCTTCCGCCCTTTCCGGTTTGTGGGTTTCCCCCCCCCCTTCAGTTGGTTGCCAGGGTGACTGACGGGTTGCCTGGAGGCCCGAGGTGACCCTGACCTTGGAGCCGCGCCTACCTGAAGGCTGCGAGGCCGACAGGCTTCCCCGGCGGCATCCAGAGCTCTGTCGGGAAGGCCCTTCCTCCGCACCAGCTCCCGGCGTTGGCCCTGGAAAGTCCCAGGGAAAGTGAGGGCACAGCGTTGATTTATTCATTCATTTTACTCACTGGACTGTTTCTACTCCCTCATTGACTCGTTTATTGCAGTGGGACTCCCGCCTGCGCCACGACCTGGGAAACTGCTCTGACAAAGGTCACCTAGGCCAGAGAAAAGGGGATGCTTTGGAACCTCTACCCGGCGCTGGGCACAACTGTGCCCTCCTTCCTGGTCCTCCTTGTCTCCGCCTTCTCTTTATTCATCCGACCTCCAGGACACAGACTTTCCTAGTTCTGCTCCCGACTCTAATCTTTAGGTGTCCTTCCCGGGTTGCTTTTTCACCGCCAGCTGCTTAAAGGGTGTGGGTTCCAAGGAGTCCACCCATCCCCTTTTCCCTCTGCATACTCTCCCTGAGTGATGGCAACCACTTTCAAATTCTATCTCCAGCTCAAACGTCTAGCTCAAGCCTCGTGTTCATAATCCAACCTCCTTGCTGGTGGCGTTGATTTAAGCCCTCCTTCCCCGTTTGCCTCCCCCATGGTACCAACAAACACAAATTTGACCATATTAATCCTGATTAGAAGCTGTCAGCGAGGGGCGCCTGGGTGGCTCAGTGGGTTAAAGCCTCTGCCTTCGGCTTAGGTCATGGTCTCAGCGTTCTGGGATCCAGTCTCACATCGGGCTCTCTGCTGGGTGGGGAGCCTGCTTCCTCCAATCTCTCTGCCTGCCTCTCTGCCTACTTGTGATCTCTCTCTGTCAAATAAATAACATCTTAAAAAAAAAAAAAAGTCAATGACATTCCATATATATCCAAGACTCAGAGTTCATTCTTAGAAGCCTACACTAATAGATCTTAGAGCCCCCTCTTCATCCACTAATAGAGCATAGAGATCCCTCTAACTTCTCATTGTCCAAGTAGCTTGGGGACCCCATAGAATTCTCCACATTCTATTAGAACATCTCTTTACAGATGATTGTATCTGCCAATAAAACTAGAAGCTCATTCCCCTTCGTCCACACACTCCCTGTTCAGAGTGCAATGCCTTGGACAGTAGGATGGATCTTCTATGAAGTGCTTGTTGAACTGAACTGAATTCATTGACCCATTAATTTATTCATTTATTTTCGGCAACTTTAAACAGTAGAACTGCTGGACCAGTTCTTGCCATGACAGAGCCCCTTCCTTTAGGAAGGCTTCCTTCCATGACCACCCTTCTTCTAGCTCTCATCTGAGTTACATTATCAGATTATATTCTAATTCTTTGTGTATCTCTTGGATGTGACTGGGAGCTCTGTGAGAATGAGGTCCGTGCCATTTTTGTATCCTGAATGATGAGCAGAGAGCCTGGTATATATTAGATTCTCAATAAATGCTTTTTTGAATGGATGTAAGAATGGGTGAATGAATAAATAATGATTGATTGGATGAATTAGAGAGAAAAATTCTCTCAGAGCACCTGACTGGCTCTGTCAGTAAAGCCTGAGCCTCTTGATCTCCGGGTCATGAGTTCAAGACCCATGTTGGGTGTGGAGCCAACTTTAAAAAACAAAAAACAATGTTCTAGGGGTGTTGTATAGTATAGCATTTGTGTTGAAAGAGGAAAAAAACTAACTTCACTAAATACCTATGATGTGTCACCAATAGCACCAGGCACCTCATATAATTCCATTTATACTCACAGCAGATTAAAATTAGTATCTTCACTTTCACAAATTTGGAAACTGAGTCTCAAAGAAGTTGTATGGAAGATGCACAAGGCTCTGCATTGTGTAGAATTAGAAACTGACAGAGGCATTTTTATTGGATTCGAGAGAGTTGTAAACTTTTGTAGAAGGCAGAGAGCAACTTACAAAAGCAATCAGAGGCAGATGGTATAGAATGAATTCTGGAGTCAGACTGTCTGGGTTTAGATCCCAGCTTTGTCATTTCCTAGGCTTGTATCTATTTTTCTCTCTTTCTGTTCCTTTCCCAATACAATGTTTTGTTCACTGCTGTATCCCCACTGCTACAACATTATGTGACACATAATGTTTGCTTGATAAATACGTGTTGGTTGAATAAAAGAAACGAAAACTCTATGGAGTTTTCATGGCTCTTGGAGAACAAAGACCCATGCAAGTGTGGAGCATAGACATTAAAAAACAGCAATACTTTCATTGTAAACTTAGTAAACATTTGAAATGTTTAGAAATAGATTTCCCAGTGCTGGAGAAGGGATTTACAAACATGGAATGGGGAACCCTGGCAAGAACTCTTTGCTTTTGGATTGGAATTGAATGTATTGGTATGAACTCATGGTATTTAATATAATGGAGGTAAATACAAATATATACGTGCATATTTCCTGATCCTGTGTGGGAAAAGGTCTAAAACAATGACACCAGGCACCTGGGGGCTCAGTTGGTTAAGTGTCCAACTCTTGATCTCAGCCCAGGTCTTGATCTCAGGGTTGTGAGCTCAAGCCCAATGTTGATTGGGCTCCACACTGGGCATGGAACCCACTTAAAAATGAAAGAAAGAGGGGCGCCTGGGTGGTTCAGTGGGTTAAGGCCTCTGCCTTTGGCTCGGGTCATGATCCCAGGGTCCTGGGATCAAGACCCGCATCGGGCTCTCTGCTCAGCAGGGAGCCTGCTTCCCTTCCTTTCTCTCTGTCTGCCTTTCTGCCTACTTGTGATCTCTGTCAAATAAATAAATAAAATCTTTTTAAAAAATGAAAGAAAGAAAAAGGAAGGAAGGAAAGAAAGAAAGAGAGAGAAAGAAAGGAAGGAAGGAATGGAGAAAGAGAAGAAAAGAAAACAAAACAAGACAGAACAAAAGAAGAAAGAAAAGCAGTGACCCATCAGTAGCAATAAGCAAGCCTGGCTCTTGGCTTCTAAATATGAGGACTCCTTAGGAACATGACAGAGACTCCAGGGCTGAAGCAGGGAAAATACAAGATGAATGTCTTCTTGTGTCACAAACACAGAGTAAGGAAGTCTTCAAAGGTTAACAACGTCATGTCAAAATGTTTGCAATGCTCCAAACTGCCTGAAGTAGCGCTTGGTTCCTAATTGGATCTCTTTGTGTAAGTCACTGTTACTATGGCTGGGACTTCTCCCAACTGTATGGAACAAGTTTCACAAAGATGAAGTTTGCACTTCAAGTGGGTAAAGACAGAGTCCTGTAATAAAGCAATTTCACAGCAAGCGAGCTGGCATCTTTTCACACTGAACAGAAGAAAAATGAAAGAGTGAAAACTGTCACTTAAGGAGTCAAGATGTAACCCTCAACTGGTTACTCAGTTAAACATAAGCTCTTTGTTTAGTTTACTAGGCTGTAAATCCAGCTTCATTAACAACGCAGATTAGAATATTTTATAGCATAGCACCTGCACAAATAAAGGTGTTTTAGATTCCAGGAAGTTTGGGGGGTTTTTTTCTTCCATTTCCCTTCAATTAAAAGTGAATTCCTTTCTTAAAAGAAGATATACATTTTTTTTGCTTCATATCTCCTTTCCCCCAGAGGGTCTTAGATGGTTTTACCTCTTGAGCTGTGTATCCAGAGTTGAACAGCTACTAAGTAGCTCCTTTGTCTGGTTCTAAAGCCCATGTGCTCGTCTCCCATATTTTACATGTGTATGTGTTAACAAGAGTATAGAAAAGTGCTAAAAGTCTAAATAATAAATAAGTAACAAATAAATTGGTGTAAAATGAAAATAGCTAGCATCTCGGAAGCCCAAGCCTGGGTGAGTCCTGTGCCCAATCACATCCTTTCCTTCCCTGCAAGTATAACCACTATCCTGACTTTCATGTGACTCATTTCCTTGCTTTTCTTTAAGCGTTGTTGCCTGAGCACATATCCTTAAATAATATGGTTTAATTTTGCTGCTTTCGAACTTTATATAAATGGAATCATACAGTCTCTATTTATGGTATTTGGATTCTTTTGTTCATTATTATGCTTTACGATTCACCTGGGTTGGGTGTATAATTTGTCCTGGTTTCATTCCTATACAGTACTCCATTATATTCTACCCATAATGTGTTTACTTATTCTACTGTCCATGGATATTTGAGTTGTTTCCACTTGGGGCTTATTACCCACAAGGCTTCTCATTCTTATACATGCATTCTGATGCACACTGGCATACATTTGTATAGCATCTGTAACTAAGGAGGACAATAGGAATGCTCATCTTCAGCTTTACTAGATACTGACAACTTTATCCTAAAGTGATTGTACCAGTTTACATCCTCACCAGCAGTGTACGACCATGCCTGTTATTCCCCATCCTCCCCAACAGTTTGTTTTTATTTTTATTTTTTTAAATACTTTATTTATTTGACAGACAGTGATCACAAGTAGGCAGAGAGGCAGGCAGAGAGAGAGGAAGGGAAGCAGGCTCCCCACTGAGCAGAGAGCCTGATTCGGGGCTCGATCCCAGGACCCTGAGATCATGACCTGAGCTGAAGGCAGAGGCTTTAACCCACTGAGCCACCCAGGTGCGTCCCCAACAGTCGATTTTTAATTACACTTTAAAATTGTTGCCAATCTGATCGATGTGTCATGGCATCTCATTAAGATAACCCTCACTTCTCAAGTGTTGATACTACTCGATCGTATGTTCTGAATCCATAATATGGCAGGAGTAGGAGATTCGAGTGGAATGAATGTATCCCTGAAAAAGAAGATGATGAAGACACTGCAAAATTAATGCTTTACAAAAAAGCAGGTATACTGGGTTGAATAGTGCCCCTTCAATTCACATCCTCCCTGGAACCTCAGAATGTGAATTTTCTTGGAAATAGGGTCATGGCAGATGGTATTAG